TTTTCTCTTTAGTCATTGGCCATGATGGGCGCAGAGTCCCGCCCCTCGTGCCGCCTCCGACAGGCTCTCCGAGCGGTCACTCGAGGAGCCTCGCCGCCGCCCCTCGCCGTGGCCACGCCCCTCGCCGTGGCCACGCCCCTCGCCGTGGCTGGGATCTCGCGGGAAGAGCGGCGGGCACGGCTGTGGCTCCGTCTCCCGGCGGCGCGCGGCGCGGGAGGGCTTGCTTCACACCAGCGCTTCCTCGCGGAGCGGTTGGAGCTGCTGCAGCCGCCGCAGGCCTGGGCCGTTCCTTCCCTGCCGCCTGAAGCGGCTTCTTCCCTCGGGCTCCCGAGTCCGCTCGCCCTCCGACGCTGCCTAGGTGAGGAAGTCGGAGCGCCTCTCCCCTCAGCGGCGACCGGGAGCGCGGACCCTGAGCAGCCGGGGCAGGCGGGCGGGCTCGCGATGGGGGCGGCTCGGCGCTGCCTGGTGGGCGCGGGGCTCGGTGGGGTTCGGGAGTGTGAGGGGCCAAGCGGCGGACCGGTGAGTCTGAGGGCGGACAGCGGAGGGCGGTGTGGAGGATGCCAGGACTGCTCGGGGGAAGGGGATTTATCGGGGTCTGGGGGCATCTTCCGGCCGGGGGGTGGGATGGGTGGCGGCGGCGTCGAAGGTCCCAGGGCTTCGGGACGGAGGGAGATGGACCCGCGCCCCGGGGCTCCTCGAGGCGGTCCAGCCGGGTTCCGGAACGAGGAGCCCGTTTCCCGGGACCTCGGGCTCCTCGAGAGCATAGGGTGCAGCTCAGCGAGGTCCCGAGTTTCTGAGGGGGCAGATCCTGGGGCCTCGGGGGTCCTGTGAGTGGGCGAACGTCTATTTCGCTTTCTTAGCCGAGGAAAGCAGGAGCTGAATAGGGTTCCGGAAAGAGGGGTCTGCGTCTCGGGGTCCCCGGGGCCGCCTTCGTGGGTTGGTTTGGGGGGCGGAAGGGCGCGCCGAGGGACCGGCGTCTGTCCTGGGGGTTCTGCTTGGCCCGGAGGGGCCGGTCACTGGGCTTGGGGAGTGCGCGGCTGGCGGTCTTGGGGAGCGCGCCTGGCTGGCTGCGGGTGGGAGGGCGTTGGGGTGACACGCTGTGCCCGCCCAGGAGACTGTCCAGCCGGAGCAGGAAGCTGGGACCTTTTGGGGTCCCATCTCTGGCTCTGCTCTCCTCTCCAGGCGGGATTTTCCTGGTTGCCTCGTTAGAGGATTGATCCCAGCTGGAGAAACAGTGGTCTGGCCGGCAGGTTTCTTTGCTCTGCCGCGGGATCCCTGTGGGGGCGTGTTGCTTTTCGCTGGAGCCCCGGGAGCCCGAAAGTTGGCAGCACCCCTGGCAGTCAAGGAGTGGGCTCCCTAGCAGGCGAGTATGTGTTTAGGTGGTGAGTATGTCTGTCGGCTGGGCGTCGGTGACAGCTCCTGAGCGGCTAGAAGCCGCCGAGGGCGGGGTCGGCCTTTGGGGTCCTGTATTATTATATCTGCCCCCAAGTCCTGCTAGAGTGGTCGGCAGCGTCAAGTCGTGCTGGGAATTGTGCCCTGGCTTCTCTCCGTCCCTTGGAGAGAGTGCATTTGTGATGAGGGCGGACTTATAGTTCTTTCTCGTATCTCAGAGCCAGAGCTCTGCGGACGCCTAGAGTAGTTTCATACCTGTAAACTCTCCCTGCCATCAAATCGCATCCGACTCAAAGCGAGCGACTCTAAAGGATGGAATAGAGCTGCTCCTGGGGGCTTCGTAGACAGTAACTCTTTACAGGAATAGAAAGCCTTGTCTGTCTTCCGGGGCGGCTGGGGGGTTCCAACTGCCGACCTTGGGGTTAGCAGCCCAACACGCAACCACGACTGTGGCTTGGTTCTTACTTGATCATTAATCCAGACTTAAGTAAAATTCAAATAAAATGATCTCTCTCTCTCTCTCTCTCTCTCTCTCTCTATATATATATATATATATATACACACACACACA